TCGGCGCGCCGACCGTTTTCGTGCATTTGCGCGTCAACGTGTTTGCATACGCTGCATTGTATTTTACGACAAACTACTCACTAAAAACCTCGTTTGTAGTAAAATAAAGTGCTTCGTACGCAAAAATTCGTGTTTTTATGCGCAAAGGCACGAAATCGGTCAGCTCGGTCGGATGTCGGTCGGCTGGGTCGGTGGTCGGTCGGCGGTCGGCGATTTTCGACCGACCGAAATGGAAGCCTTAGATAATAGGCCTGAAGTTGAGTTCTACAGAGAACGTGTCTTAACACCATTTTAGATTAAAATTATATATTTTCAGCTCCTGTCGGCTCTTTCCTCGGATCTCATCTCCATCGTCAAGTTATTGCCGCTTTGATTTATATTTTGGAAGCTGCCTCTCTAGTTGGATTCTTGCTCACTAAACCAACATGGTTCCTAATAATCATGTCAGGTAATTTGGGGTTTTAGTGAACAGTAGAACACAAAATTATATTTAGTGATCATCATCGCTTGCGGTTTTGTATTCTTCCAAGTTATGGCCAAATTGGGAGAGATTCTGATGAAGTACGTGGACTTGAATCGAGCAGACGAAATCTCAAATGGAGAGGATAGTGAAGATAAAGTTGTGCTTCATATGGAGGCTCAAGATGTAAAGTTTACATGAAATTGATTTTTGTTATTTGAATTGTATGTATTATTGACGAATAAATTTTGAAATAAAAAAATAGTCTCAAAACATTAAAAATAGCCTTTACACTTTGAATCAATTTATTTAGCTTATTGTAAAACATCTCAAAAAGTATTCAACTGATAAAACGTTTATAATAATATTAAAAATATTTTATTAGTTAATCACTTTATTAAAGTCAACTTTGACCAACTTTTTCTAGGTTCCTGTAAAACATATCAATAAACTGTTAACAGCAAAAATGTTAACTTTGATATCAGTAACAATTCATTAGTTGACGATTTTTCGATATCTTAAACAGGAATCGGGATATTTATGCTCAAAAGGACTATCTTTTATAGAGAGTTTCACAGAATTTCAAAAGTCAAAATTCAATTTTTTTAACGTGATGAAAAATTTATTTGTTTAAAAAAATCCGCGTTCCGAATTTTTTAAAATTTAAATTCTCCACCAAAATATCGACGTGAAAACTTACGACCCTCTATGGCCCATTGATCTCAGGTATAATAGAATACTATAAAGGAAGAGGGAAGCAAATGGAAGAATCAGTTCTCACCTTCTCTGGGCTCCAGAGGAGGTGTGGGAGCCCAGGTTCTGAAGCCCAGGTTCTGGAGCCCGGGTCATGGAGCCAGGAGCATTCAATGGAGGAGGAACTGGATCAAAAGCAAGATGCTGGTGGAAAATCTAGAAACAATCCTGATGTTCAAGATAATTTTTTTCAATTCCTGAAACTGAAATCAACAATTCATGCAGTGGGATGATCTACGAGAAACAAGATCATTTGGAGTGGTTCCTGATGGTTCAGACTGAAAATTAGAATAAACTAATAGTAAGAGATTGATCTGGCACCTTGGAGGCAGGAAACAGGAGCATGGATCCGCAGGAGTAGCTGGAGCTGGCCAAAACATCAGCCAAGAGGAACTAGTGCGTGATGTTCAAGATAATTTTATCAATTCCTGGAGCTGAAATTAGACAATTTATGAATTCGGAGCGTTCCTGATTTGTCAGACTGAAAAATGAACGGATGTGTTTGATCTTATCATCTATTTCTGCAGTAAACATTTTTATAATAAATAATCGTAACATTTTCTTTGTACTTTTTGTGATTATTAAAGGAGCAATCAAAAAATGTTCGACGGATAAATTATACAGTAAAACCGGTGACAAAAAAGCTCACCACACAGTCTAGTTTGAGTTCAATTATCTCAGTTCCTATAAAAGATCAATTTTTACCGGCAAAATGTTCCTCGTAAAATTACGAACATTCCATTTCTTGGCAAATTTTTGGTGTCATTTGAAGGAACAGAAAAAGTTAAATTCAAAGTGCACGTATAGGCTGGGCCTGTATCATAGTATTTACAGTAGTCACTTGCGCATATATTAGGTTGGCAGGAAAGTAACTGTCCATTTTTCTATTAGTAAATAACACAAACACAAGAATAATCCAGAATTAGCAATATGCACCGTCGTGATCCACAACATGTTGGCAATGTTCAGGTAACTTGTGGGTACCATCCCTCCAAAAGCCAGCTAGTGGCAAGTCAAAATATCCCTCCAGTCCATTTTTTCAGGCATCAAGTGTGTTAAAGTCCTTAAGCTCCAGATGACGTCGTATACTTTTGAATAACCAATGATCTGATAGAGCTGAATCAGGGCTTTAACGGGGGTAAAGGAGAACCGTCCAGCCAAAGCGGCTCAGGTACGGCGTGACTTTCCGTGAACATGAGGTTTTTTCATTTTTTACCTGCAGTCAAGTCAGACCTGAGCAGCTTCAGCGGGACCGTTCTCCCTCACCTACTTATAGTCCCGACTGAGCTCTATCAGATTATTGGATATTCGGAGAGATACAACCTTATCTAGAGAATACGAAATTTGCACCATTTATGTTAAAAACAGGAAAAATGAATACTTTGATTCGCGGCTAGCTGGCTTTTGAAGGTATTGTATCCACAAGTTATTAATTATTAATCCTGCTTTTGTATTATTCACAAACAAAACAAGGGACAGTTACTTTCCTGCCAACCTAATAGAAATAAGATGAAGATTATTGAATGTGTGTGAGCTCTGTATTATTCGTCTGGACCTCTATTCAAGTTTTAGAAGACAACATTCTCAGAGTTTTTTCAGAGTTTCAGAACTCCCAAACTTCCGAATTCCCAAATTTTTGAGTTTTTGAATTTCAGACGTTTTTGCGCTTCTGAATTTTCAAACTTCTGGATTTCTAATTTCCCGAATTACAAAAATCTTGAAATTCAGAAATTTTTAACTTGTTAAATACTGAAATTCTGAATTTCTGAAATTCTGAAATTCTAAACTTCTAAGATTCTCAGATTCTGAAATTCTAAATTTCTGAGATTTTTAATTTCGAAGATGCTAAAATTTTTAAATTCCGAGATTCTGAGATGCTAAGATTAGAGATTCTAAACTTTCGAAATTCCAATATTGCAGTCCGAATATTCGAACATTAACTTTCTTTTACCATTTATCAAAAGCAAAAAAAACTGAAACGGAAACCTCGAAAATAAATAAATCACTTCCTTGTTTGTATCTCTTTATTCTTGATAATTGACCTTCCCCAAAACTATCAGTATTTTTTACAACTGACCAATCTCCTCTAAAAACCGTTCTTTCCTATCATCTACTCCCTTTTTCTTCAAACCGAAGAAACCTGCGTCTCTTCAATTCCTACTATCTCTCACCACGATCAGAAGACACTAAATGAATTACACTCTTCTTCTGGAACCTTTTTAAGGCAGAGAAGAAAACATTACACTGTAAAAGAGAGTACGGGTAATTTGCAATAGTTTGGGTTTGGGAAGAAAAAAGAAGATACTAAACAAAAAATTCTCGGTATAAAAGGAAGACCAATATCACAGTAAAATCACACATTTCTCATTTCTCGAGAATGACGTCTGCAACATTCCTTTCGGTGATGGCCGGTCTCTCCGGTATCGTTGTGTTTGGAGCACTCATCTCGGTGTTCCAAATCTACACTGATATCAACTCATTTGTTGAGGAGAGCCACAAGGAGCTCGGAGAGTTCAGAGTGAGTTTTGAGTAATTTAATTTGATTGGAGATATCCAACGTTCAGGGTTTTGCCAACGACGCCTGGAACTCGATGATCAACCACGACGACTCTGCCCGTGTCGCCCGTTCCGTCTTCCACCGTCGCCAGAAGAAACAATCCCACTGCAACTGCGGACAACAGGCCACCAACTGCCCAGCCGGACCACCAGGACCACCAGGAGCACCAGGAGAGCAAGGACACGATGGACAACCAGGAGGTGCCGGAAAGCCAGGACAACCAGGAGTCGCTGGACCAGCCCATAAGCAAAACCAAGAGTGCATCAAGTGCCCAGCAGGAGCCCCAGGACCAGCCGGACCAGCCGGAGCCCCAGGACCAAAGGGACCAGACGGAAATCCAGGAGCACCAGCTCACGGAGGAGGTCAAGGGCCACCAGGACCACAAGGACCAGCTGGAGCTCCAGGAGCACCAGGACAAGCCGGAGCGCCAGGAAACCCAGGACAAGCCGGAAAGTCTGGACAGCGTGGACGTGGACTTCCAGGACCAGCTGGAGCCCCAGGGCCACAAGGAGCTCCAGGAGCACCAGGACAGCCAGGAAGTGGAAATGCTCCAGGACCAGCTGGACCACCAGGACCAGCCGGACCAGACGGACAACCAGGGCATCCAGGACAAGATGGACAGCCAGGAGCACCAGGAAACGATGGGCAACCAGGAGGAGATGCTGCCTATTGTCCATGCCCAACTCGTTCTTCCGTCCTCCGTCACCGTAATGTCTCTCGTCACCGTGCTGTTGCTGCCAAGAAGAGAGTCGTTGCCAAGAAGCGTGTCGCCAGAAAGCGCGTCGCTGCTGTCAGACGTCATGTTCAAGCTTAAGAACCTCTCTTTGCATTCACCTTTTCTAGAACATTTCAAATACTATTTTTTCCAACAAAGATCATTCTCAGGTGTTATTGTTTTATTTCAAGGTGTTGATCATCAAGTTTTGGTTGATTCAAGAATTGGTTCAATTAGTTCTCAATTATACATAAGTTTTTTTACAGTTTCGACAGAAAGATATCATATTTGGATTTTTTAGTTGCGAATTTGGAGCCCTGGAAAACTATTCCAGAATCTTTGGATTTATGTGAAAATTCCACAGATCACTAAACAAAAATAGAGCTTCATTTTTGACAAGTTTTTTCCATCTTGATGGGATAGCTCTGAAATGAGAACAGCGGTGCCACTTTGAAACCGTCTGACTCGCTTGGTTGGATTTTAACAAAAAAGTTGTCAATTACAGAAATGAAGCCCTATTTTTGTGTAGTATACTCTGAAATTTTTGATTACATCAAAAAATTGCGGACAATTTATCAGGACTTTGAAACATTCCCACTAAAAAGATTTCAAAAATTGTTCATTTTGGTCGGGTACTGTAGTAATACTATCCAAACAGGTAACATCGAGTGAAAAACGTTGACATCTCGGACCTGGAAATTTCTAAAAGGCTCTTGGAGACTTTTTTTTTAAATTAGCTCATCTGCTCTATTTTTTCGTCTTTCTTATTTTTGTTATTTTGCCCAATTATCTTTTAAAACGTTAATGCTTCTCGAGAAAGCATCTAGATACTGGGACCACTTTCTTGAAAAAAGAGAAAGAGAAATATAGGAGACCAAAAAAAAAGAAGAGGATTTTCTTTGAATAAAAAGTTTTTTTCTGGAAGTTGGAACCACCAAATCGGATTTTCAATCCTCTTTTTAATTGCCTCGATACTTTAGGTATGGACAGATTTATCATTTGGGACCAGATACTTCAAAATTAGGCACTAATGATGAGACCAATTTAAAAACAAATACAAAGTTGGCACCGTTATCGGAACATCGACAATAATTTTTAAGAACCTTTTTTTTTTAAAGTTCGAAATTTTAATGGAAACGGTCACAAAACTTGAAAAAATCGGTAAATATCAACTCAGGCATAATTTTTCCACTTGACCCCCCCCCCCCCCTTTTCGCTTGGGCCCCCTTTTCTCATGGCCCCCCCCCCCTTTTCTCATGGGCCCCCCTTCACAGGTAAAATGCGACTCAATAAAACATTTGATTCGCAAACGGATCCGTTTGGTCATGATTTGCAATCGGATCGGATACGGAGCTCGCGAACGGACAGGATACGGATCAATCCGAATAATGTACTGCTATTTACTAAAAACGGTTCGCGCACGGTCCGTATGCGGTTCCTATTTCAACCGCGCGCGAACGCGGAGCGTCCGTAACGGATTGTTCGCGAACCACCTGTGTTGTCATAAAGAGCCAAATTGTGAGCTTCCAGAACTTCGAAAATCTGTCCCAGTTTTTGAATCTCTGTCTAGTACTACTTCTCTCCAAAATCCCTTCAACTAATTGGTGCCAGCAGGTCAACACCATTTGTCAGCTGGTTTTTTCCCTCTTCCTCTTATTCCTGATGCCACGGACACAATTGTTTTGTTGTCTGGTCTTGAAAGAAGAAGAAGATCAGTCGTAACAAAAAGATTATGCTGAAAACGAAAAGAGAGAGAGAGAGAGAGTATTTCCGGCCGGAAAATTTCAACATGAAATCGGTTTCGAAATTTTTGTGGCGTATGACTCAATGAGTCAGATGGCATCTGGAATAGTGTTGAAAACTTGGAATTCGGAAGTTCTTGTGAATCTTTGGGTCCCAAAAAAGCGATTTGAAGTTTGGCAATGATCTTGTAGATTATGGATAATATTTTTTTTATTATACAGCACCAGACCAAAAAATCGTATCTTCAATTTTGAAAACAGGAAACTTTGAAGTCCTGAAAAAAGTCCAGAAACTTTCAATTTGCCTGAAGGTTTCAGAATATACTTTAAAGGATAGAGCTTCATTTTCGTAGTTGACAACATTTTTGTGAAAATCCAACCAAGCGAGATATGAGGTTTTAAAATGGCACAACTTTCGTGGAAGTGCTATTTTTACTAAATATCATCAGTATGGAGTTTGACTGAGCTCAATAGTCTCGGTCCACCTAAGATATATAAAAAGTTGGTCAACTGGTAAAATTCTTATCTTAATATCACGAACATTTTATCAATAGACACTTTTTCGATACCTAGCGAAGGGAATGAGATAACTCAGCTTAAATTTGACAGTGTGGAGACATTTTTATTACGGTTTGTATACATCACTGAAAATAGGTACTTACAGAAAAAAACTGAAAAATGAGATTTGGCCCCACCCCCCACTGGACCAAAAAGTTTTTGCAGTTCCATTTTTTGTGGACCCCTAACAGTAGATACCTGCAACCACCCCCACATTCATTCACTAATTCTTTCGGGGGCATTCGATGGCACTCTTCTCACTCAACTATTACACACACAGACACATATCTTCCCCCAACAATATCCACATACATCTTCCTTCTTCTTTTTTCTTTTTCTTCTTCTTCTTATTCTCACTTCATGAGATCATCAGAAGAGAAAAGAGAAAAGAAACACTGATCTGATCACGGATTATTATATGGGGTGATTATCATTTTCAGATATTTTTCTATAAATAGGAGGAAGCGGAACTCAAAATCTAGAAAACTCGGTCTTGAAAGGGAACATGAAAATTGTTAAACCAGATTTTTTCTCTGAAAAGTTAGCATACATAAACGTTCATTTTTACCTCAATTATTTTATGAGAGATACGGAAAATGTGTCAACTGATAAAATATTAGTGACATTATCATACACAATTTATCAGTTGAAAATGTTTTCATATCTTTTGAAGGAGCCAATATAATTAACATGAGCTCAAAGTTGACGGTTATTGTGGGCTTCTATGTATTAGTGCAAATACGGTAACTCGGAATCTTTCAGATCTGTGAATTCATAAGACAAAAGTTTCAGACTTTTCGGAACATTTTCAAAACTTGCCGAAATCTACAGTATGCCTTGATATTTTCAACGTCAAAAAATAAGAAAATCCAGGCGCCTGAAAGTATTACGCTATATGACATCGATACGAAGGTTTCGCAAATTTCTGAAAAAAAAAACTAAACATTGAGAAAAATTAAAGCGTTGGGATTATTGGAGGGGTGCTTTTTTTCAGATGTTTTATTGTCGGCAATTTTCAGAATGTCAAGAAGAGAAACACTATAATGTCCTCGATTCATTAACTTTGTTGCAATTTATCCCTGTTCTTGTGACAGATATCAAAAAGTGGTCAACTGATAAAATGTTTATCATAACACCAAAAAAGTTTCGTCAGTTTATCTCTTTTTGGTAACTTTCGCAAGAACCTAGATAAGTCGACTTAAAATTTAATCTGTCTATTGGAGTGTATACGGTGTCTATATTTTTGTGTTTTTTTTCACAACTGCTTGCTGAATAAACTAGAAAAAACTTTTTTCAGGATTTTCAGTGTTTTCCATTTTCGAAAAAAATTTCAGATAGTACGTGCAACTTGAGCTCGATTATCTAGGTTCCCATGAGAGATATTTAATACTAGTCAACTAGTAAAATGTTTATCATAAATATTTTGTCAGTTTATCACTTTTTGATACCTCTTATAGGAACCGAGATAATTGAGCTTAACGTGCACAGTGTGGGCTTCTTTTGGAGCAAATTTATTTAAAAGTTTGGAATGTTTTATCACTGTACTACGTGTTTCAAATCAATGCTTTTCTTCCAGCTCCAAATATCTGACCTCTATCTCTCATGTCGCGTTCATATCATCATCAAAATATTCGTATCGGTTTCTTCCGCAAGTCCTTCGCACCTGGACACTTCGAAGGACATGTTTTTTGGACGCAAAGAAGAGTGGTGTGGATCCCTTTATCTTTTTTTCGATGGACTCACTCACACACATCTCCAAGCATCGTTTTCTCCCGAACCAAACCAATATCTTGCTCTCTTTTTCTCTTCCTTTCCACCCCGAGCCCCATATCCAAATGTTTAAAACCTTCTGTCCTCGTGCTGATTCTCTCTGCCTGATCTCTTCATCTTGAACGCACTCTCGCACAGATCGTATTCCGCCAACTCGTTGGCAAAACACAATGGCATCTCGCAGAAACGCAGCGTCGAGTGGGAGGGTTTCGGGATCCCAGCGCGGCAAGAGCGGGAGCCTAGGATTACACTGAGGTGCGCCTCGTTTTCCATCTCATCTCTCTCGCTCCCCAACGGGCACTACCTTCCGAAGAAGTTGGAGCAGCAAGTATAAGAGAGACTATGGAAGATCAAGAGAGCACCAGAGATATGGGATGAGGCGCGGGATTGTGTGTGGGGATGACTCTCTCTGAGCTCTCTCATCTCTCTATCTCTCCCCTCCCGAAGCTCCCGAAGGCACCCCGAGAGAGAAACGGCACAATCAGTCAGTCTCGAAGCAGCCAGCCAGCCAGCAGCACACACAGGGGCACCATCTTGAATACTCGTTTATTTTGAATCATGTCATTGTACCGTTCGCCATCCGCTGCTCTTCTGAAGAGCCCGTCGCAAGCCGCGTTCGGCGCTCCATTTGGTAGCATGTCTGTTGCCGATCTTGGATCACTCACCAGACTTGAGGTAGGTACTATCTTCCTTTTTCTGATGATTTATTTCTTTCATTCTTAGATTTGACTTTGAGGGTTTTTAATTTCTGATTTTCCTATATTTTGATAATCTAGATCCTAGATCCAATCCTATGGATCCCCAGATTCGAAAAAATTTCTTGATTGAATCCCAAAAAGTAAGAGATCCCAAATACTCAAACCTCACTAACCAATATTTCATCTTTTTCTATATCTATATTCTCAAGTACTAAGACACTTTTTTCCTGTCTCTCTATCTCCCTGAGGAGGTTAGCCGATCCAAAATCTAACTAGTTCTAACTAGCTCAAATAGACGTGTGTAACTGATAACTTTTGTTTGATTTTTTGT